GTACATGCCACTGTAATCAGCCCCAAGAGTCATTTTTTGAGAACCACATGTATAAGTAAGCAACATAGTTATAAGGAAGATACTGATATTGTATTTACACACAATTCACATACGACTATAAAACTTTGGTTGATATCACCAGTTTTCCAAATAAAACTTTAACAGCCCCTATTCTTTAAAGTGGAGATAGACTGTCAATACTTAATGAACACCTACATGAATCAGAGACTATGCTGGGGATAGTATATAATTTGATTTAAACACATTCACCCTTAGATGATTCTGTGAATTTTCTCTTCTTTGTTTTTATCTCCTCTACCTAATATTAATATATCTCCTTGGCCCCCAACTTCCAGAAAAAGGAATGATATGGGGGGCATGATATGGGCAGAGAAACTTAACAGAGGCAATAAATGGAGGTAACATTGTTTGTTAGACAACAATGGCTTGTACTTCCTAGCCTAAGCAAAGACAAATACCCACTATATTTTTGTATGCATTTGCAAACATACACTAAATCTCCCATGTATATGCCTCACTCAACACACATCTGGGTCCTTATTCACTTGGAGGGAAAACACTAGACTTGGAGTTAAATTCCACTGCTGCTACTTGCTAGCAGTGGGCAAATCCCTTAATCAATCTGAGTTTTGATTTTTTCATTATTAAGATGCAGATTTTAACACCTACTTCATAAAGTGTTGGGAAGATGAAGTGATGTAAAGTACACAAAATTTTAATCATGAGAACAATGGGGCAAATGTGATGTACACTTTACAGACTTACAGAGGAGAAAACAGGTGTGAAGAAACCAAGTGATTCCCCCAAGTTAAGGAAGAAAGTAATCAGAACTCTAATTAATCTCATCTGACTTCAAACATATGTCTATCCCCCACTCCAGAGGAATCCCATCTCCCCTGCTGACCTCTTTTCTGGACTCCCAGACATGGAATGTTCCTCTTAATGGCTCCTATCCCTGATGTCCCCACCCAGTCACTTAGAGTTAAATGAATAGGCCCAACATGGCAGGTTCTCAGTTTGCTGGCAACACAAATGGCATAAAAGTACCTGTATGTTAGAAACGGACACAACAGGATTTGGGAACCCCCAGGACGGCATAGGGCACAGCACTGGAGAAGAAAGATTGAATTGGTAAGGCACCCTGCAGTTTCAATCTTACTATCATAACTGCTTGCACTGAGGCTTCTGAAGTGTATGTAGACCGCATCTCCACCCTCAGAGTTTAAATTGCGCTAGGGTGGACCCAGTGTCTGTGTGTGGCTCAGTGCCACTGGGATTAGCTTAACAGAGCACACAGAGCCTACACTCCCTGCCCCCCAGAGCATATCAGAGCCTTTTTTTTTCTTTTATTATTCATATGTGCATACAAGGCTTGGTTCATTTCTCCCCCCTGCCCCCACCCCCTCCCTTACCACCCACTCAGAGCCTTTAAAGGGCCTTCAACCAGGGCCAGGTAAAAGACAGTGACTTTAAGGAAGGCAACTTGAAATTGCCCATCATTTTGTAACATGCCTAAAAAAAATCTCTTCTGCTAGCAGAAATCAAAAGCCTCTTTGCCCATCATCAAGAACCTAAAATGTAAAGGTAGAAGATGAGTGGAGGAGACAAGCCACTGAGAAGGAAGCAAGAAACTCTACTGCTGAGAACTGCATGCTTCAGTAGAAGCAGGTTTGGTGTCCAGTTAAATTAGTTCTGCCTACCCACTTCTGTTTGGTGTGCTCATCTGTTGGACATGCTGGTACTTAAGTAGCAGTGCTAACTGGTTTCATTATTGTACCACTCAGGGCAAGGCTTTTGAGTTTGTGTCTAGTTCAGTTATTTAATGGTATTAACTACCCTGTGAAAGTTCATTACTTAGCCAAACATTTTTCCTCGTACTGAGTTCATACTAGAAACTCAGGTTAGTCAGCATCCTTTATACCCAGGGAGTAAGAAACGAACCCATTATCCCAAGAAAAGGTCCATTAAGGAATACAACAAAGCAGGTAGTTTTACAAAATATATTTTTGTTGCACTCTGGTTTCCCAGCTCTACACCCACCCATTTAACCAGCTTAGTGATGCTCTTTTTTTTAAATTTATTTCTTTTATTCATATGTGCATACAATGTTTGGGTCATTTCTCTCTCCTTCCCCCTGCCCCTTCTCTTTCCCCATTAGTGATGCTCTTGAAGCTCGGGGCTAACACATTTCTCCTTTGCCTCCTGATTTCTGATATTCGGAAGGTGGGGTTTGGTTGCTAGAGAACCCAAAAGGTTGGAGGAGGAAGGAGGACCTGCTCCTTTCTCTTCCTGTTGGCAACACCCCAGATAGCAGCAGCTCTCATCACACCTCCTGAGAGATATCTGCACCAGCCTCTGCTGTGGTTTCAGGGGTTGGGTTCCAGCTCCCTGCAGCCCTCCTTGAACTCCTAGATTGCATGCCCCCACTTCCTTGTGCCCTTTCGACTCTAAGAATGGTGGTTGTTTCCTGTGTCCTACTATGTTTCCTGCTTATCTAGTCTGTCCTTCCATATCTGTCATATTGATTTCTTACATTAAATTACCTGTTAAGAAACTTAAGTAGTTGCTGATAGAACTGAATACAGTATATTTGAGAGCAACAACTTCATCTAATAATAGCCATTAACAGTGCAGATTCTGAAATCAGTCACTCCTAAGTGGGAATTCCAGTCCATCTATATAGTTGTATCTGGTAACTTAAGAAATTTTAATTCTAGTTCCATTTTCTTCAACTAATTTATATTGCATACTTAAGTGCCTGATATTGGACCAGACACAGAGATACAATGGTATGCAAAACAAATTGCCTGAACTCCCTGATCTTCTTTTTATGCGAATCAAATAAGGCAACACAGGTAAGGGAGTTAGCACACTGCAGGGCACATTGTCATCCACTTCTTCTTCAGACCAGACAGCAGAGCAAAGATAAATGGGTTTTGAAGAAAATAGTGTTTCAATATCTGGGTCTCTTTGGAAAATGAGGCAGGTGTCTTTCCCTAAGACTGAGGCCCTGAGTCAATATGACACCAGGGACTGATTGTGTGCTCTATTAGTCCTGTTTAGAGCAGAAAAGCAATGAACTTGCAGCAGCATTCACTCAGAGAGACACGGGACTACACAACAGCTGCTACAGTTTGAATGTGTAATGTCCCCCACAGACTCATTTTTTGAAAAGTTGGCCTCTAGCTGGTGGCACAATTTGGGAGGTTGTGGAAACTGTGAGAAGTGGGACCTAGGTAGAGGAAGGAAGTCACTTGGTGGGGAGTCACAGTCCCTGCTCACTCTGATTCCTGTCTGCTATAAGATGAATGGCTCTCCTCCATCACAGACTCCAGCTGCCATGACGGTCTACCCAAGCACATGAGGCTAAGCAACCATGACTGAGCCCCCTGAAACTGTGAGCCAAATTAGATCCTTTTTCCTTTAAGTTGTTCGCTTGGGAATTGTGGTCATAGCAATAAGAAAGCTAACCAATACAGAGACATTTTAACAAAATTCCAAGGAGATGGGGACCTGTGACACTGAGTACCAGATACTGAGCTCTGAATACTGAAAGGACAACAGAAGCTGCAATGTAGGGCTAGGATACCTGAATGGCCATGGAGTAGGAGTGGAGGAAGATACTAGGAAGCTGTTATTCCAGTATCAGTCATGACAGGTATTTTACCATAAAGAACACACACACACACACACACACACACATCAAATAAATCACAACCTACTTTATGCTTTCTGTAGCAGGACTGTATACCCAGAGAAGTCAAGAAGATGATAAAACAGAAAAGGGATTTCAAGATTCTGTGCCTGAATCCAAAAGCTCTTGGCTATGGGCAAGGAAAAGCTAGAAAGAAATTCAATCACCATATTTTGACATAATACTTACTTGGTCTTCAATTGTGTAGCCATCAGGCATATTGGGGCAAGAAGGGCCAATGTTCTCATTAGTACAAACATATTACTGCAAGACTGCTGTGTGGCTAGTTTATTGAAAGCCATATCTACAACACACTGATACCTTATAAGTGCAAACTAAACCCTTCACTATTTTTTTTTTTTTTTTACAAATTTTGACATGATCATCAAAATTCGTACTGAAGGAAAACCACCATGGGAAATTATTATGAGAAGGTCTATTCCACATCCTTGCTCTAGGGCCTTGTTATAAGTAATTTACTGTCACTGAAGAAATTTAGAGTTCTGTAAGGCATGAAAATCCTGGAGAGAGTTTTACTCATAAATAAACGCCAACACTTAAAACAATAAAGACACTTTCAGACTCCAGGACTATTGAAACGAACAATATATATTGCCTGGATGATTTTATTACACTGGTGTTTATAGTCCAAATGGTAAGGTAATTCAATTCCACCTAAAGATTCATTACATGGTGAAGGCTAAGAGAAGTATTTTGGATAAGAGGTGATACTTTCCAGTTTTTCCATTTCAAACACATTATTTCTGTATTTAGGATATTACCCAGGCAATTCCTTTCATGATTCTTAAGCAATTAAAAAATATATATATATATAAGGTAAAAGACATCAAGGACAAATGCTGAATTCAAAATAATCCATAGACTACTGAAGAACCTCCCCCCCCCCCAAAGAGCACTGATGTCTCAGACATATGGGAAAATAACCCCTTCTGCTCAAAAAAACTTAAAAAGAGCAGTGAGTGTGCATCACAGCAAGAACATTATTACCCAGCAGAAGCAACTGCTAAATACAGATTTCATTTCTAAACAAGGCTCCTCCCAGATGTGAGCAAAAGGTACCTCCTAATGAAAAGGAGAAATTTCACTTAGCATAATGTCTTCACTGTGGCACCTGGCAGTCTTCCCACTTCGTCCCCTTGCCACACACATTCAGATCAATCTCAGAGTAGAATCTGTTTGTAATACATTCTTGAACTTGGCAGAGGCAAGGGCATAGGGAGCCTGGCCAATCAGAACAGTCTCTGGAATTCCTGGGCTTACATACCATCCAGGCCATTGTGATGAGTGTAATTTCTTTTCCCCAGAATGCTCAGTGATGTGTGATTCGGGGTGGTTAACATCCGCTTGGTAGATGGGGTTTGCAGGCTTGGTGTAGATCGAATAACATTAGCTTTCTTTGCTGGATGGATCTCTGACAGGAGGAAAAAAAGGTTTATCAACTTAGAACACAGTACTAAAATTTTCTCTGTACACTTATACTAGCTAATAGGCACACATCTTATTTCTTAATGAACTGAGAGTCAGTTCTTTATGAGCCAGCCACCAGACGTGCATAATGAAGTAGCTTCAAGTGTTGTTGCCATGGCTTTGCTTATCATTATCAAGTAAACTGATTCTTTCCCTGCTGGCTGGAGCCCTGAGCCTCAAAGTGTGAATGCAAACACACACACACACACACACACACACACACACCACTTCAGAAGGTCACTTACAACACAAGATTTGCTAAGGGAATAAGGCATCTGACTCTTCAAGGTATTGGAAATCAAGAGTATCTGCAGAGGCAGTCTTAGAGAAACATTCTATGCTCTTGTCAAACAAGGAACAAGCAGTGTGTGCGGTGTGTTAGACTTCTGAAAAGCTATACAATCAGATTATGAGACCAGAGTGAACCACTCCTGAATCAAACATTTTGATTATAGATGAACTCTGAAGCCAATTTAAATGCTCTGATAAAGGACATCTCACAAAACTAAAATGCAAATGGCACATCTGTTGTGAATCACATAGCCTAGAACTTTTTTTGGTAAATAGAAATTATAATACTGTTGGAATTAGATTTAAGGACCTTGGTCTATTACCAATACTACTACCAAAGCCTAACCTGCTCACTCATCCTTGGGGTCATCACTCAGCATACCAACTGTAGGCAAGCCACCCTGTCTTCTCACCTCCCACCCAATGTGAGGGCCAAGATAGCCTGATTTACTGAAATTTAGGAAAAGCAACTTGGACTGTTAAAATTACTACATCTCAATCTGATCAAAACCTTTCAGCTGTCAAAATTTATGGCTTATATGTTATTCAAACAGTAATGACTTCATTCAACGTGGCATTGAAGGTTTGCCAATCTCATTTTTCATTATAACCTCCAAACTCTGTGCTCCATCCAAATGAGACAATTTCCTTCCTGAACTTTTCAGGTCTTTGGACTGTCTGAAGCCTTTGCCTATCTGGTTCTCTTGGCCTCATGAGAAGAGAGAATACAATTTTCTTCTTTTCAATCCACCTAAATCCTACATATCTTTCAAGACTGAGATCAACTATTACTTTCAAGTAAACTGTCCTAACACTCATCAGAAATAACTATTCCTAGGGGTGGGGGTATAGCCTGGTGACAAAGCATTTGCCTGACACATACTAGGACCTGCTTTCAATCCCCAGCATCACAAGAAAACAAACAAAAAATCCTACTCTTCCAAGTGCCCAATGTATATTAAAGCCTATAGTTTTTGTACATCTACTTCTTTGTTTTATTGTTCTGTGTATGTTCTTCAACTAAGAGTTTTGGGGTAAGGTCTTATTCACTTAGTGTTGCCCAAATAATATACTATAGTGTCTTGAACTTTAATGTGTTCAGAAATGTTACGTAGGGATGTGGTTCAGCTGGTAAGGACCACAGTTTGAAACTTATCAGGTAAGGACAGAGGTCAATTTGTCCATAGGAGAAACACAATTACCCGTAGAAAGGCTAACTACTATGCAATGTTATATTTTACTGTTTTTTTGGTTTTTTTTTTAATGACCAGAAACTTTCCCTTGTGAGGAGGGAAGGTGCTTCCAGGACTTGGTCTTGCAAGGGAATACAGATAGCAATCTTCAAGGACATTATCACCATTACCAAAGCCATGTCATTATAACTATGTGATATACTGGGGGGATATAAAAGCATAAGGAGGCAGAGTAACATCAAAGATGAAGCCATAAGCTTCTGAGTTTAGGAACACTGACAAGGACAAGATAATATAACAAGTTCAAGGATACACTTTGATTATTGTTAAAAAATTGGATGTCTAAAGTCTGAGCACTTCACAACTATAAATCTCTCAGACAGAGCAGTAAGGTTTAATGCAACTTTGAGTACATATTTCACCTTTACTGAAAAAAATGAAAAAACAGCACAAAAACATGCTATTCTTGTTTCCAAGTATATGAGGACTTGGTTTTTCTGAATTGTTTATCTTAAAACTTTGCAAAAAAGTAATTACTTGGTAATTTTTAAAAGTATTCTCATCTTTGAGTTAGCTGGCATGATAAAAACTAGAAAGTAAGGGCTGGCATGATGGCTCAAGCTTGTAATCCTAGCTACTTGGGATGCAGAGATCAGGAGGATCACAATTCAAGACCAGCCAGGAAAAAAACTTCAAGAGACCCCCAGTTCAACCAATAAAAAGCTGGGTGGGTGGCACACCTGTCATTCCAGCTACTGCAGGAAGTGTAAATAGGAGAACAAATAATATGAGGATTGCAGTCCAGGCCAGCTGGGGCATAAATGCAAGACCTTATCTGAAAAACAACCAAAGCAGAAAGGGCTGGGAATGTGGCTCAAGTGGAAGAGTGCAAGGACCTGATTTCAATCCCCAGTACCATTAAAAAAAGAAAAAGAAAAAAACAAAACAAAACAGAAAGCAATACAAATACTTCCCTTTTGACTTATCATATCAAAACTATAACTTCGTTTTTTTGTGGTACTGGATCAAACCCAAGGCATGGTAGGCAAGTGCTCTACCATTGAGCTATATATACTCTGCTCTCAGGGTTTGTTTTGGGATTTTGCTTTTTAAGTGAGAGTTTCACCACGTAGCTTAGGTTGGCCTGGAACTTGGAATCCTTCTGGCTGTTTTCTGAGCACTGAAATTATAGGTGTGCACCACCATGTACAGCTAAGTGTTTTTTTAAATGTAGGCTAAAAATAATTTTGACCTTGTTTTATAGAAAAAGAAAGTAAATAAACCAACCCTGCTTTATTTACAGGGAAGGGTAAGATGAATTAGAGATAATGTAAGGATCTAAAATATTAAAATTATTGATTTTCCTTTTTGCTTAATCTGTTTTTATTTCCATAAATATATAGGATTTGTTTTGTTTTTATTTTTAGGGTGGGACTGGAGGTTTTTGAACCTTTGCACTTGCAAAGCAAGCCCACTACCACTTGAGACACGCCTCTAGTCCATTTTGCTGGTTTTGGAAATTGAGTCTTATGAACTATTTGCCCAGGCTAGACTTGAACCATGATCCTGCTGATCTCAACCTCCCAAGTAGCTAGGATTACAGGCATGAGTTACTGATGCCCAGCAAATACACATTTTTATTCAATGATTTTTTTTTTGAAAAAGTAAACATATATCCATAAATGTGAGTGTGTTGGCAATAAAAATAGAAGTTTCTAAACCAAAATAAACTATACCTATAAAGGTGTCTATTTTCACCTATTTGAAAGGCTTTAGTTTAGGTACACATTTAGAATGGCCAAATGTCCACAGCACATAGAAATTATTTTGTGAGTTTGTCCTGTGTTAGAAAATACCCACCTAAATACCCAATGATACATGCCAAAGGTTTCCTAGTGCTTTTGCTTTTCAGTGGGCTTCCAGATAGCTCAGCATGTCTGTCTGCATCTGAGGAGAGAAAGAAACATGGAGACAACCAATGAGGCAGATTCCTCTACCTTTGCCACACACTGCAGAAATAAAAGGTGCAAGTGGAAAATACTGCAAAATATCCACCAGATTCCTACGTAACTCCCTGTGGGGTTTGAGAAAAATGTTTCTAGTTCTGGATCTTAATACTGAACGAGGGATGTACATGGTGAACCATCAGTTTAAATTCCATGTTGAGTGTAGCTAATACACTTTTTACACACACACATACCTGCTTTCTTACTGTATGTGCTCCCTCAAAAGTATGGAGACATTCTTCCTTTCTAGTCATGCACTTTCTATTTATAGTAGAAAAATGTCCATACTACAAGGTGGAACTGGCCCTAAAATAAGATTAAGCAGGCTCGGAAGGACAAAAGCAACATACTCAGCCATCCCTGACTTAGCTGGAGTGGGTCTCCACTGAGAAGTACTGACCTATCTTGACAAAAATCCAAGTCCATTAGACAACAGTCTGGCAAGCGTAGTAACAAGCCATTTGGTTTTATCACCCATTCACTATTTCTCAAGTCCTACTATGATGTCATTGGTGCTGAGCTTAAGAAATTTACCTGTTTGTTGACAGAGTATTTCACCCAAAATTCAGTATAAGATACTGTGAGGATGGATACTAACTCATTAAAGTTTTCATCACATTCCTCATACCCTATCATAACATTTTATAGAGAAAAATAAAGCATACAAACATCATGTTTTTAATTAGCTGTCATTATGACAGAAAAGTAGATGTGGAAATACTCATGAGTTGACATAAAAATAAAATTGTTTGAGGAGACAAAACAAAATGTGTATTGAAACTTTTTCAAATCCACAGATGTTGTTATAAAGTTTAACAGTAGCTTTAGCCAATATCGAACTACTATGTTTATGCCAAATTTGATTCTCCAAGTTTTCTTTTTCTGAGACCACTTTTTCTAGGTTTTATATATATATATATATATATATATATATATATATATATATAGGAAGTTTCCTTTGACAGTCATGGGAATTCTTTGCACTATTAGTGTGAACATGTACTGTTTAATCTGGAGCCCAAATAATTTAAAATAAGGACTTGGAGGTGTGGCTCAAGTAATAGAAAGCCTGCTTTGCAAGCGTGAAGCCCTGAGTTCCGACCCCCATCCCACAAGTAATAAATAATTTCAAATAAAAATTTACTTTGCTCTAGTCCATTTTCACCAAGGAAATTCTTTAAAAAAAAAAAAGTATTAAACAGGCTGGTGGAGTGGCTCAAGACTGTAGCAAGCATGAGGCCCTGAGTTCAAACCTCAGTGCCACAAAAAAGAAAAAAAACAAAAAAATCTGTTAAACAGAAGGTGGGATACAGCACTTTAAGAAACATTAAAATGGACAAAGCCCATGCTGCAGTGAGCTTCAAACACCAGGAATCTGAATTTGTACTCCAAGCCCTGGCTAGTTATTATGCAACCACTGGTAACTATAAATGATCCAATTTCTTCTCCTATTCAGTTGATTCCCTTTAGAAAAACAAAGTAACTACCAAGCTATGAAGCTTTTCACCTTTGTTGAAAGACAGTGAAGATACAGGCAGAAATGTAGTAAGCATATAGTGGAGGAGTAATTTAAATAAAGATCAGGAAGAGACCCAAGTTACTGGAAGGGTTAAACACTTGTCAAATCACAAGTGTCAGAACCATACAATTCCTTCTTAATATCATTACTTCACCTGAAGTGCAAGTCATATTCAGGAAAAGGACAAGAGAAAATAATCCTTCTTTTCTATTAACTTTTAAAAACTTGAGTGAATCATCTTGGTTATTTCCTCAGTATCTTAGAAAAGGTAATGACTGTATTACTAGTAAAAACATTAACTTTACAGGCTGGGCATGGTGATGCACACTTGTAACCCTAGCTTTGCAGGAGGCAGAGATAGGTAGATCGAAGTTCAGGACCAGCCCAGGCAAAAGTTAGCAAGACCCTGAGAACAAGCCAGGTGTGATAATACACACCTGTGTTCTACCTACTCAGGAGGCGGAGGCAGGAGGACCTCCACCTGTCTGAGGCCAGCCTGGACAAAAGTATGAGACCTTATCTGAAAAACTAACAGCAAAATGAGGATACGGCTCCAAGTGCTAGGACAACTGCCTAGCAAGCATGAGGCTCTGAATTCAAACCCCAGTATCAAGGGAATAAATGACTTTGTTCTTTATTGCGGTGCATAAAGTCTAAAGGAAAGCTACAAACATGGCTACATGTGATGGACACTAGGACACTGTCATCACTTTGACAGGACAATAAATTCATTAAAGGGGTCATCTACACAATATCCAGAAATACTTCATTTTAAGCTGTATTAATTTGCTTCTAACTTCTTGTTATATTAGTAGCATTAATTATGTGATGTTCCCACTGAAAATTTATATACAGGGCAACTCTGATCTGGTGACCAAAGCTCTTTAGAAGGACCCATATTTCATTAATCTTCATTATATTTTAAAGAAAATCATGGGTGTTAAGAATTATTAGTCACAGTTATGAAGAAATTAGAATGAAAAGGGATACGATGACCTAGTCATTTTCTAACATAAGAAAAATGGCAGCCTCTCAATAGGAAAAATACATTCTGCCTGAGAGAATGACCACAAACAGGATTAGATGGTCTACACTGGTATAATCTTAGGCCACACTAAAGACCAGGATAAACTTGGTGCTGCTTGTTCACACATCACTCACCTGCCTCTACTTAACCAGGGAGATAGGCATTAAAAGTGCACAGAAAAAGAAAGCAACCCCAGAACTGCCCAAAGAACCCAGCAGGAATTAAACCTGCCCAGAGAGAGGAGGAACATCTGCATCTGACTAGTCACTGGCTGAGCACAGGCACATTTCTTTAGTTTCCTGTAGGATTATCTGTATTTCCTGGTGGTAACTGTAGAAGAACACTGCTACTTTTATTGTAATTTATGGCTACTTTCCTACAATGCTTTGAAAATACTGGGGGTGGAGAAAGAGGTGAGATAGAAAACCTGCAAAATAAACACACTGTATTAAGGTCTGGATCCTTGTCAAAAAAAAAAACTATCAGTAGGATTTGCTTCTAGAATTATAAAGACATTTCTAAACAAGACACAAAACCCAGGTACTATTTAAAAAAAAAAAAACTCTTGATAAACTACTTTTTAAAAAAATGTTCAGCAAATACATCAAAAAATCAAAGACAAAATGGGAAAAACATTTGCAGCACACATCACAGATCAGGAGCTAACTTTGTTAAAATATAAAAAGGTCCTACAAGTCAGAAAGACCTTAGAAAACAGACTAGGGCAAAACCAGGTGACAGATAAGGAAGTATGAACAGCTTTCAAATATATGCAATGATTTCTGTCATTCAAAATGAAAACTGCAAAGTAATATGTTATGCCTTACCCATCAAATAGCCAAGCATTTAAAAATGGGTAATGTTGGTAGCAAGATTCTTGAGAAACAGGCAATACCTAGACACAATAGGTAGGAACATAAACTGCAGTTTTTCAGAGGCCCACTGGGTAAGACTATCAAAATTCAATGTGCATGTTCCACAATCCAGGTTTTCACATGTAGGGATCTACCTTATAAGTGCATTCCTGTGTGTGTGGGGGGAGTGTTTGAACCCAGGGCCTCCAGAGCATGTTAAGCACATGGTCTATTGCTGCACTACATCCCCAGTCCCAACACATACCCATTAAATAATTATGTAGCTGGCAAAAAAAAAAAAAAAGTAGCTCTCCATGTAAGGTACTGAGTGTGATGTGTTAAGTAAAAAATGCAAGATGCAGAAGACAACTGTTAACTTCATTATAAAATTAAAGACTACATCTCCTTGCACCCTTACAGAAGCATAGGATACCTCTGGACACTTAACATGCTATCAGGAGTGAGAAAAGTAGTAAGATTTATAACCACTTTTGCACCTTAAAAAAATTTTGAAATATTCATTCATAACTAAACGCCTGTTGCTGGGGGTGTAGCTCAAGTGGCAGAACACCTGTTTGCCAAGCACAAGGCCCTGAGCACAAATCCCAGTACAACCAAAATCAAACATCTACTAAAAATAAACTCTAGCAAAATAAGCAAACCCAAACTGTTCTCTCCTGGTGTTTCAAGAGCTTAAAATTTCAGAAAAAGTTAACTTTTGCAGAGGAATCTCTAGAAAAACTCTTAAGACAAACTTAAGAAATGGGGTTTTAGTATACCTCCAAGTTGAATTCACATCTTCAAACAGAAAAATGTCTCAGGTAACTAACTCCCAAATGACTTCACACTGGAGACCACTGCTGTCATGCAAAGCTGATATGTTAACTCAGAACCAGGTAATTATCTCTGCAAGGTATCAGGCACATCACCTGGACCTACTTTTCCAGAGACTTTAGTTTCTTCTATGGAGTGCTGCTAACACAACTACTCCTTAACCTTAGTTGAAGATCCTGACTCAAATAGTGATCGTCCTGTACTCATCAGGTGTTTGTGTGATTCTGTACATCTTGGACAATGTCATCTGATAACTCTGAGGGAATGTCTAATGCCAATTACAAAGCAGGAGTATCACTATCAATCACATCATGGCTTTTTCACTGGAGAAAGAAGTGTTAAGAGGGGGAAGACGGGATGTCTAAACTTGATGTTGTGTTATACCCTGTGTTGTTGCAATAAAAACCCTCTCAAGGACATAGTACTTTTCTTTATACTGTGTTTAGGCTGCCAATCCTTTTTTGTTGACACAGGGTCTCCTTCTGTAACCCAGGCTGGCCTTGAATTTGCAATTCTGCTTCTGCCTGCTGAGTGCTGGGATTATGGGTGCCTGGTCCCCAACCCATTTTTTTTGCATGTTTGCTTTTCTCCCAATCCATTTTTAATAAGCACTATCTACATGGTAAAATTGGTGTGGGTACTTTACTATTGTAACTTTTGACACAGACTTACATATTCGCACATAAAGGTGCATTATTAAAATATATAGTTATTTCGAAAAATTGGTTTTTAAAACCTTTTTCATGTGTACATATCTCACATGTATTTTTAGACATACATTGGTCAAACTATATGCTTGTTTTAAAGTTATTTAATAGCAAGCATATTCCCACCGTTCAAATTGAAAAAGTTTAAAAAGATGGACAATGGTAATCTTTCCACCCCTTTCCCTCAGCTTCCCAGTTCCCCTTCCCATTGACACCATTATAATTTTGTTTGTTTGTTTGTTTGTTTTGACAGGGTCTTACTATACAGCGCAGGCTGGCCTAGAACCTGAGATCCTCCTGTCTCAGACTTTTGAGTACTGGGATTATAGGTGTGTGCCACGACATATATCAGTATCATTACTTCTGGCAAAAATTCCCCTTTTTACTACCCTACACTTTTCTTAATGAAAATAAAGGCAAAGAGTGCTTCTCAAACCAGTCAAAACAAACAAAAAAACCATTTCCTCCTCAATAAGGGTTAGTTACCTCATAAATCAAGTACTCAGGAGCTGAGATCATGCTCTCTCTGATCTACTTGAGAATTCCAATTCTCCTTAGCGTGGCCTCTTCACTCTTCCACAGTTTGTCACCCCATAAACTCTGACTCTGGTTGTGATGTTGCTGTCAAGGCCAGAAGCCATGGAAGGGGTCCATTTTTACAGTGGTTTTAAAAGAAGAGTCTCAAGCTCATAGAGAAAACTAATTTCCTTTCTCAACATGATCAGTTAACTCTAAATTCATTAATTAGAACTTTTATGCCAGGAATAGTGGAGCACGCCTACCAGTCCTTGGAAGGCTAAGGCAGAAGGATTTTGAGTTTGAGGTCAATCTGGTCTATATAGAAAGATCCTGTCTCAAAAATGTAAAAAGAAAAAAAGAAGCCTTTTGATCCATCAATATTTTTAGAATTACAAACTGATCTGAGAGTACACTAACACTGCACCATAGTGATTCTTAAGCTCTTTTGGAGAAAGAGATCAGCAATGCCTTTAAGAAACCAAGGAAACTTGGGAGGCTGACATTGGGAGAATTATGGTTTGAGGCCAGCCCAGTCAACAAAGTTTGCAAGACTCCATCTCAAGCAATAACTGAGCACCTTGGCATGTGCCTGTCATCCCAGCTATAGTAGGAAGCATAAAATAAGAGGATCACAGTCCAGGTTGGCCTGGGCAAAAAGCAAGACCTTATGGCCAAAATAACCAGAGAAAAAAGGGCTACAGATATGACATGAGGGGTATCATGCTTGTCTAGCAAGCATACAGCCCTGAGTTCTAACCCTAGTACCACAAACAAACAAACAACAAAACCCAAACCAAAGAAAACTTATCAATAAAAAAATATTCATTTCTGAGCTGGGGGTCATACCTCAAGTGGTAAAGCAAACATGAAGGCTTGAGTTCAAGCCCCAGCATCACCAAATGAATAAATGAATAAATAATCCATTTCCAAGGCAACAAAGACTTAGTTGCCTATGGACATCAGGTTATTAATGCTTAATCTCACTAACAAGCCAAGATCAAGGGATCTGCTAAAGAAGTTATAACAAAGTACATATAAGAAAAGAAAAGAGGACAAAAGAATCAATTTTACATGGTAAGGAAAAGAGTTCACTGCTTGCTTGTCTGAAAAAAAAACCCTGAGCAGATGGCTGCTGAATCACTGTAATTTTAAATCTTATGGTACAATTAATTATTCTAAGACTTGATTTTACATGTACTTCAATGACCAATGAAGCTAACCACAAAACAGAATAATCTATGCTTTTAGAATTTCATCTCAACAAATGACTATTTTTTTCTCTTGTACAAATAAAGTACAGGTAACTGAATCATAATCTCTTTTTTTTTTTTTAAGCAGCATGGCCATTTGAGGAAAAAAGTAACAGAACATATTTCATTCAAGAATAAACAGAATAAAGACAATGTGCAAATTAACTGAAAAATCAACAAAGAGCCAAAGGAAAAACAGCATCCACAACAGCCAATTACATTGGTGATGGTTTCTTTTCCAGTCATGGGAACAAAGATGATACTGGATACTGGCCAATTTTAAAGGAAGATTTTCATTCATTGCCTTTCTCAAAAATTTCAGTTATTCTTTTTAAGAAATTATATATAATTGTATGTGTTTTAAATCAGCTAAACAGTTGGGTGAATATATTTATTTTGTAGTTCCTTAAAATGTTAAGAAAGAAATAACACAAGTCCATGAACTGGGATGTGCTAAGACAGAATGTCAATATAAGTCTCAATTCTCAAACAGGCATTATGGATGCAGCTGACTTTCCCCTGCAGAAGATACTGACATTGCTGCCAAGTTCCACTCCTTTTACAAATTTTCTTCTTACATAGGTTTTACCTATAAGTTTTCATATGCCTTTCAACTTTCAGTTCTCTGCCCAAAATTATCTTTAGAAACAGAATGTTTTTTCAATCATCATTCCTTTCCCTCTTTAAATCAAAGTGGAACATCTCACAGATAAAGCATCTGAATATCTTTAAGACTTTCTGTTACACTAGACAGCAAATTTTCTTATCCCATAGGGAAAAAAGCTGCATGGCTCTGGTAGTCAAAAATGTGACTCCAGAGCTAGCACACAAATTATGTACATGTTTTCAGATACATGGCAAGAGCAGAACAATCCATAATTCACTGGTACATATGACCTTTGTTCTAACAAAATAATGAGACATAAGCAAGACTAAATGTGTTGAAAACAAGTTATGAGTCATGTAAATGTTATATGATAATATATATGTGATTATGAAATGGAAACCAAATTAGACAAACAGACTGCTCAATCACAGATTCAGGTGCTAGATGTAAAAACTGTAATTTCAGAGAATCCACCCAAAAATGATTTTTAAATTTATTTATAATTTGCTAAACCTTCTAGTAAGTACAGCATTTGTTATGAGGCACTGTGAATTTCTATAATGTATAATGATTGTAAAAGATTCCTGAGAGGATGAGAGGGTTACAAAGACATACAATTTCTAATTAGTATAAATATAAATTTTATTTAAACCTATGTGACTCCATAGGAATGGCCTCTGCTGTCTCAATTAGGAAGTTTCATTACAGCAGCATCTTTAGGGGTTATATTGCAGCACTACCTAGTAGGTAAAAGTGCTTCAATAAGGGTTCTTTTGGCAACTCATGTTACAAACCAATGGATTAGGGACACCTCCCACCACTCTTCTCCTGAGCACTACTCTGATGAAGATTTACATGTTTTTCAGGTTGGCATGATACAAATGGCAGCAGACAAAAACAATGTTTAAAAAAAACCAAAAGGCTGTACACAGAACTTATGTTTATTGCAAACAAACAAAAAGAGAGAGAGAGGGGAAAAAGAGAAAATGGCCAGAAAAGCACAACATATAAAGTTAAGAATTTAAAAACGTCTTACATTCTGCCCTAATGGCAGCATAATTTATAGCAACAAATGGCCGTCTTGCTGCCTGCCTCAACCGGAGGGTATTTTTGCAGACCTGACGAGCAAATTTTGTGAAATATGTAGTATGAAGGAAGAAAGCTTGGCGGGTCTTCACTGCAGACTTTGGACTCCCAGTGTTTCGGACTGGCATTCCCTGCCGGGACAGATGACTTCTAACACGGGAGTCCTGTAAAATCAGAAGCAACAAACATTTAAAAAGTAGAATTTGTCAAAACACATTATCAATTTCATTGTGTTCAAAGAAAAGTCTAATCCCTGAAAGCATCAGTAACTTAGGAATCGATCCCTAAAAGAGAGAATTAAGTGTGTACTTTTGGGAAGAAGATGGGGAGCAGAGAAGAGCACACAGTGAGTGAGTGAGTGAGTAAGTGAGTGTGTGTGTGTGTGTGTATGCAATACAATCCAAAATCACATTCACAATTGTAAAAAACTGCCAAAGACTTATCAGATTTTTGTTTGTTTGTTTTTTGGTTTTCTTTAGTATTAGGGAGTCCTAAGAGACCATCAGCACTGCAAAAGCACAGTTTCCCTCTGGTAGACACAGATACTTGGCATCTCAATCTATGGGGATTTTACCAAAATCATATTTCAACTGGTTATTCACCTAAGATTGAGCCCAATACCTTCCTATCCCAATAGCCCGGGAGAAAGAAAATGTTCAATTCATATTTATTACTTTATGTAATAAGATTTTTTTCAACAGTATCTAAAGGTTACAAACTGTTTTCAAAAGCAACTAAAACAATTTGTAAGTTACTTGTGATTAACACTTCCTGTACACAATATTCTTTTATTTAAGTAATCTCACAAGACCAATATTTTGAATACCTGAAAAAATCTGACTTATCCCTGGCTCCTATCTCCACACCCACACTCAGTACTGCAGTGCTATGTTTAACTATATAAACTACTTTGTTCATTTTTAAATTGTCCTGCACTATACTTCTGTTTCCAAAGAATGAGCCAACAATGGAACATACGATATTTTTAACATTAAAAAGACTACAGCTCATGTACCTCTGTAGTTGGGCTGGGAGATAACTTCTCTTCTTCTGACTGGGTGGGCATTTTCAGGCCTCCATATTTTTTCCAATATAGCCAACAAGTTGCACATAATCTACATTGCATATTAGGTGGACCCCAAGAATACCACTGGTGAGACTGTGTAGCTAAAGATGAAGGAAAAAGAAAACAAAGAATGCTGTGAAATTTATGACATCAGTGCAAATTATCAAGTATCTCAAAAATATAACAAAATCACTTTTCTTTTCTTTCCCTAGCTTATTAGCCAAACATAAAAGTATAATATACACATGGATTTTTCAACACTTAGAATTCATTAAACATTTGTTCCTATTATACACCAAATGCCTGTGGCAGCCCATTAAGAGAGGTTATCAAGTGAAACATCCTATATTATGCATTGCATTGCTGAGGGAGCTTTTGTTTTGCTAATTAAAAATACTCTTTTATTGCATACATTTCTAGAAGTAAGTCTTCAGAAGATACTATTATTATGATTATCAGTGTTTAAAATCTAAATCCAAGTTTCCAAGCTTATAATTCAGAAACTACCTTAGGGTATGCTTAAATTACTCAAGAGGGGCCCTACTGCTAAGCCAGGAATCTGATAGAAATAGAAATCTGTTAGCCAATTCCTCTATTTTAATCAATACATATAATACTGAAGTATTTCTCCCCTTAAAAACAGAATGCCTTTCAAGACTCTGAATCCTTACCCAAGTAAGCATATGCAGCTGATATTATAATATATTTAAGACTTAAAACTCAGTTTCAACAATATGACTTTTGGTGGTAAAGTTATGAGTTATATATGACTTTGGCAATAGGATGATAATATTTCTTTTTATACTGGGAGTACTGGGATTTGAATTCAGGGCCTCCCACCTGCTGGCAGGTGCTCCAACCACTTGAGCCATACACCCAGCCCTTAAAGATTCTTTCCCTCTCCCACTCCAGGCCACTTTGATTAGAAGGAATTGTAGATGTCACCAATGCCCTACTAAGAGATTATATTGTTGCTTGAGATTTTAAATAAACACAAAGTTTTTCACCTACCAATCAGATCATCTCACCAACCCCACTTAACACCCAGGGCACATATACTATAATCCTGCCAGCACAGATAAATACAACAAAAGCAAATATCATAGAACAGTATCTCCCAAACTGGTGCCCTGAGGGAGACTGTCTAAGGATTATAAATAGCAGTTTATCCACACACAGTCCTTTCCCACAGAATTACTGGGTACCTTTCATTTGCCAAAGGATAATGAGGAACTCTAAAAGGGGATTTGGTATTATCATGGGACCATGGTTTGGGCAAAGCTAATACAAACTCTGCACACAGTTGAGTAAACACTGCCATCAAATACTCAACGAACACAGAGCCCACTAGAAACTCAATGCCTACCTCCACTCCCCCACCCAGACCTTGCTAGCAGAAAGCAAGGATGGGCATCTATTCACTCTGAGGAGATGCTGCGATGCCTTTGTGCCATATTGATCACACACTTTCCATGGGGTGTCTGCAATCCACCCCATGGTTCAGGCCCAGTTCCCAGACGTAACAATGGACAGGCCTCAAAATGGAAAATACAACTTACTGCAGCAAACTTACCATAGCAACTCTCACAGGCTCGCCCTAAGAGGGGATTCTGGGGCTGGAACGTGGTCCCCACAGCTCCATTCACAGCACCAGGCTTGCCATTGCTGGTGGATATTTGGTTGGGATTTGGTTTGCTGCTTTCAATGAAATGTAAAGTGAGGTGAAAAAATAATTTGTATAACACAGCAAAAAGTTTGAGAGTTCCTTACTAATTTATCTTTACTAAATATAAGCAAATGCTTAAAATATTTAATGAAGAAGAAATCAACTGGTAAAAGCAAGATGTTAAAATGAACCCAAACCCCCCTGTCTACAAAATAAGGCTATGTAACAACCAATCTCTTGTGCCTGGCACTCCAAGGTAAACACAAGCATCTCTCTTGTCCATCCAAATGCAATTTCCTTTGAGCATCTGCATGTGATTAGGCTTTATCACTTACCGTAAATTCCCCTGAAAAAATGTTTTAGATTGAATAAATTGAGCTAACGGCAGTGTTGAATTAGAGAAAGCCACTGTCCCACTCCACACCAGCTCTGCAGGGAGTGGTGCAGGAGCAGATAGCTGAGATGCAGCAGGGCTCCCAGAACCTGTCTACAACTGAGGAGCCTTTCAGAAGCTTGTCCTAGTCTCGTAACAATTTCTATTATGAGGTAAATTGAATAGAATTTTAAAATAAGAAAAAAGAGTGGTTTTAAGCTTTTGCTTTTTAAGAAAGTACTTTTTAGGAGGAAAATGGAGACAGAAATCTACACTCAAATTGTCCAGAGGCCAAGTCAACATAGTCATTAATTGTTTAGAAACATGTAGCCCAGACAGTCTTGGTACTTACTATGCATTCATACCTAACTTGTCCCCATCTACAATAGGCTAACCCTACTTATAAAATCATGCCCAAAGGTGTACATAGTATGTGTAATTCATTTAACATATACTCTTAGTGCCAAGCTTTCATTTTACAGGAACTTCCATGTCTATTTGCCAGACAGAAAGTAAGCCAAATTAATTACTATATTTAGAAACAAATATAGAATGACTAAATGGAGACTGTCTTCTCATGGCCACTGAAGCAAGGTCAAGATCCTTGGAGTCTCAGTAGAGAGTTGGCACAGGAGTTTCCTCCTGCCACAACCTCATGTGTAAACTTAGTCTGGCCTGAGAACATAGATCTTACTTAAGATTTCTTTTCAGCATTGTTACTATTAAGTCTCCAATATCACTCTCACACACCCAGAAGAAATCATTTAACCTCTGTGAGCACTGAGGTCACTATTCTGTCAAATAGAGCCATTGCTTATACTTCTAACCTGTGTCAGCAATGTATTTCAAAGACAAATTGTTTTTGTTTTTAGTGCTGGGTATCAAAGCCAGGGTTTCTTTTATGTTAGTCAAGTCCTTTGCCACTGAGCTACATCTGCAGCACTGACAAACTGGTTTTAAAAACAAACATTAAGAAGTTTTTCTTGTAGTTTTCAGCTGTATGTGAAAAGGAGAGCTTAGAATGACTAGTTTTCAATGAAATAATTACAATTTCTGATTTTTAAAAAATATACAGAGATAGAAATAATAACCCCTTGAAGTAAATGACAGGCCAGAAGTTTACCAGAAATATAAAAATTTCTGATATTTAAATACAGGACTAAATATGTGTAAAGAGCTAATACAAAATGAGAGCAAACATAAGTTTATTGCACAAATGAATCTAGAATGTTATTTGACTGAATAAGCCACTGATCATCATAATAATCACAAAAGGAAAACAAGTATGCTGGGACTACATGTAGACACATATTATCACTGCAAATGTCTTCTAGGACTGGGGGTGTTGCTCAGTGGTAGAGTGCCTACTTAGCAAGCATGAGGCCCTGAGTTCAAACCCCAGTAACAGGAAACAAGCAAACAACCACAACACAATCTCCTATTACTCTCTCTCCTCTGCACATGTCTTGGCTCATGTGCAATCCTGACTACTCCACTAGAGATCACCAATGACCTCCATACTCAGTTTCCTATTTTTCATCATCGGACAATGTAAATGTCTCTCCTTCCTTAAAACACTTCCTCAGCTGCTGTGATCTGGCTATTCATGTTTAACTATTATGCTCTAGATGCTCCCTAAATACTGGATTTATTCAGAGTCTCTTTTTTGTTGCTCTCCCGCAGAAATCTCAATCCATGGTCTGAAACATAATTACAATATACTGATTAAGCTCACATTTGCATCTCTAGCTTATCCTCTGAGTTTAGGACCAATATATCCAATATAAAATTCTGACAGCATATCCAATACCTCCTTTTTGACAGAACAAACTCAGAATGACCTATCCTGATGCTGTGGCACAGTTTCTGAGCTTTCACCTGTTAGCCAGAAACTGGGGACTCAAACTTGACAGGCAAAAGTCAATCACCTCTAAATATTGCAGAATTTCCAGGACCACTGCTCTGAGTAGTGCTACTGTCCATTTCTCCTCGCCAAGAATTTTATAACTGGTTTTCCTGAATATACTCTTACTCCCCTACTCCCCAAACCATTTTTCAAAATACAGCTGGTGATCTTCATTTAGTGCAAATCATGACACTTGTTTGTTTAAAGTTCATTTCCACTGTTTATCACATAGTTATCTCATACCAGCTTTTCATGGCTCCTGACCTTCTTTTCTCACACCAGCCATACTGTTTTTCTCTCTGCTCAACTGTACTCTTCTCCCTTCCCAGCTTAGGGTCCCACTATCCCAGAAAGCCTCTATTATCTGCTCAGCTAATCCTCCTCCTCCTACAGAGTAGTCTCAAAGACTCCTTCCTGGGGATGTCAACTGACCCTGTCCCCCAGTATAAACTCACACCAAAACCATCCTTTGTCACAGTATTCACCACACTGGGTCTATACTGTCTGTCTCCTAACACTAGAATGCAGATCTCTAGAAGACAGTCTGTATTCTTAATCCTTTTTCCTCTACTACTAACAGACAGCTTTGAATATAGGAGACTGCCAGAAAATGACAGAAAAAGAAAACTTTATTATTTGTTTCCTAAAAACATTCTATTTCAGAGTAAATTTGGAAATTTATCAAAGGACTCAGATTCAGTTCCACTCAACTCTACTGCTTATTTTGAGTAATATGTATGATTTATATGAGTTTTTTAAAAGTATGATTACAAACTGTCTTTTTTTCTTTTTTGTGGTGGCAATGAGTTTAAACCTAAGTTTAAACCCCAGTAGCATAAAAACAACAACAAAAAACAGTAGCATAAAAAAAGAAGTATTTAAGTTTTATGGATAATTTTGTTACAGCTACTGAATTCTGTTCTTGTATACTGAAAGTAGACTTAGAAAACACATAAATGAATAACTATGTCTGTGTTTCAACAAAACTTTATTTACAAAAGGAGGTCATAGGTCAGATTTGGCCCACAGACTAGTTTGCAGACACCAAAGTCAATATAAAGCAGAATAAAAATGATTATACGGTTACTTGGTCAAAACTGGTTAAATGTACTGGTGCTTTGAAGTATAAGAAAGCTGGCAAGTTTGCTTTTGAGAATCTAATATACACTAGTCACACCAGTATTTTCTTTTTTTGGTGGTACTGTGCTTAAACTCAGGATCTCATGCTTGTTAGACAGGTGTTCTACCACATCAATAGCTCTTTTTTTTTTCTTTGCTTTTTTTGCAAGTTATTTTTCAGGTAAGGTCTTCCTTTTGCCAGGGGCCAGCCTCAGACCATGATCTCCAATGCAGAGCCTTCCATGTGACTTAGGATGATAGGCATGCGCCACCTGTGCCTGGCTCACAACAGTGAGACATGGACCTTTTATAAATTAATCAAATAAAATATATAATTTAAAAGAAATTAAAAGCCACTCTGCAGAAGAGGTAATTATGGACCCTGCAAATTACATGTTTTTAAAATTAAGCCAGTTATCTGCCTTGAGGTAAAAGATCAGTATGAAAGATTATAATTCATTGCCCATGAGGCCTTCTATATATAAAAACATTTATTATGCAATATATTGAAATTCAGTAAACAAAAGGCTAATTATAAAACAACTGTACTTAGCTCAGGGAATGAGAAAAATCTTGAAGCAGCATATTGAAATCTGTAGTAAATTTAATTTAAATCCCCAAAGAATCTAGGATAGCACTATATACATGTTACTTGATAAGCTAATTTTTTGTTAAACAAATGATCAAACCCTGAAGACCTCAACAAAAGGGTATAATTAATTTAAAACACAGGAAGTGAAAAGAACATTGGCATTCACTTTAATATGACAACGCTATGTAAGCCCAAACAGTAATAGAATGCTAGACACCTAAGACAAATAAAACCTATTGAACATTTGCAAAGCACAGTCTAAGAAAACAATGGAAAATCCTCAACCAAGCAATGTAAACATATCTTAAAGGGTCAATGCACAGTGCCCACACAAAATCTACTCTATAATGCACAAATTTTAACAGGTGCTAGCCTTGTGAAACACATTTGCTTCAAAGTATGCAAATTATGGTTAATTTGGTTAGTTTTCCAACCTTTTCCCTTCAGCTTTGACAGAAGTATAATATGTGGCATTCTTTATCTCTAGTCTGTATGCTACTCTATTTGGGGTTTCTCTCACCCTCTCCTTTTTCTTTCTTAAAAAAAAATAATGCAATGATAAAATAGAAAGCGTCATGCTTTGTAGACAAAAAGAATAAGACACACAAAGAAATTTAAGTTTGTTTGAAACTGAACAAAATGACATATTTTGTAATGATAGAATTAATACCAGGACAAATATTTTAAAAGATTTCAATTACTTACTAAGTTGGGATATATACTTGTTTCAGTTTACTCTCAGCTTCTGCTGCTTTTAGGCGTTTCTAATTCAAAAGATGGATAAAATGTTTTACACACGATGACTACTAATTATTACTACTTCATTGTCTTAAAAATTCACAAGAAAATAAGTATTAAAACATAATTTAAAAATTGCTGTTTTAAGAAGCTTTTCTTTCAAATGCGTATTCTTAAACTGCAGTAATTTAAGTCATTACACTCTGAGTTACAAAACTGTAAGCATTAACAACATTTTAGACATAGATTTTTTTAAATAAATCAATGAATAGTTCCATTTCCCATTCCTCCATGAATAAATAAAAAGGGCTTTGGGGTTTTTTTTTTTTTTTGATGCTGAGAATTGAACCTCATATACATTAAGCATGTACTCTACTGCTAAGCTTGCTAAGCTATACCCCCAGCCTCAAAAGGATATTTAAAATTAGCTTCTACTTTATTTCTTACTTGTCTTTCTGGGAAAGAACCCCACCACCCACAAACACACACAAAATCTTTGCTTTCAGAAAATATTCAGAAATGATTAGTTCCCAAAATCCATGCAAGAGAAAAAGATTATAGCTATTCAGAGTAGAATTAAATAAAAGCTCTTTGTCTTTAAATGTTAGATGATATGTAGTAACTTTTAATCTTGATATAACTCACTTAAGATTGCACTAAAACCAATTAGTAGCCAAATGCAGGGAAAGAAATAGGAAGGAGATTATATAATCAAATCCAGACACTGATCAACACAATAACAAATGCAATTAGGGAAGGAAAATAACATAGGGTCAATGTTCAAATGTGAGACAAACTAGAATATAAAGCTGTCCTTCATTTTCCCAATCAAGAGAAAAAAAATTAGGAGACAACATGAAACATTTAGAACAGAACTGAAATTTTTGAAAATAATTTTATCCAAACACTTTCAACAATGTTTGAAGCCACTGTTTCCACCAGTTTTAGAGATTCTTTGTGATTTGTTTGAATAAAACAGGTTTTCAGACTACTAGCTTTCTTTTCTATCCAACATGTTTCAAATAAGTACTTTCTCAATTATGCATGTTGCTGACAATGGAAATTGTTCAACAGGTTATAAATATGTATTCACTGTTCATGACCTCAGCAACTCATTATAGTGCTTTTTTTGGGGGCCTAAGGGTGAACTCAGGACCTCATGCTTGTTAGGGAGACACTCTACTCCCGGAGCCACTCCACCAGCCCTCATTCTGATACTTTTTAAAGTGACCCTTAAAATGTGTTTGTATAGCATCCAATACTTGCTACTGTATAACCTACATACTTAGGAAATACAACATCTGTACTAAATCTATTTGCCTTTCTTTACCAGTGTAAATAATATAAAACCAGTGTAATAAAACACTTAGTCAAAACAAGTATTGACTAAGGTCTTTTCAGGAAAATATAACTTTACCTTTCTCCAAAGGTAGCATTGATCAAAATAAAAGTTACTTGAGTTTTAGGGAATGAGTCACAAATTAAATGATTCCATACTTTGAAATAATCCTGGAGAAAAATATTGGTATAGTACCAAGACATCAAACTAATAAGACTATTACAATAATGGGGTGTGGTAGTGCAATGCTTGTAATCCCAGACAAGAGGATCTCAAATTCAAGGACAACTTAGTCTACATAGTGAAGCCGTTTTTTTTTTTTTTAATTTAAGAAAGAAAGACCAACTACTACAATTAATGTCAAAAATCAAAAACTTAAGAGGAAGGCCCCTGGGTTTGATCCCTAGCATGAACACACACAGGAAAGAAAAGAAAAGAGAAGGAAGGAAAGGAGCGAGGAAGGGAAGCTCTCAAGGAATACAACCACACAAATGTCATGTAAAAAAGTTTCAGAAGATCTTTTAAAATATCTCAAATTGTAAGAAATTGATGGCATTAGTCTCATTTTTAAATTCTTTGTAAAAACTTGTTCAACAGGTTAGTGGCAGTACCACATCTCTAGTAATTCCCATCAGTTACACTCAAAGAGATGAAGCACCAGTCACATGCAAGGAGGTCTTTCCCTGTCCTCTTTCCAAATATTCATCAGAATGAATGCTTAAGTTGAGGAAATATTAAGATAAAAATCTTAAAAATAATATCCTAAAATTATGGAGTTATATAATCTAGAAAAGATCAAACAAACAAATGCAAAATTAGTATACTGCTAAGGAATACTTAAATATAAACAAAGCTCACTTTAGTGCAATCATATTGGTAGAAGTATGAAAAATTACCTGCTGTACGTATCTGTCAGTAGTTTTCCACATGTAATAATACTCAATGATGCTAGTCAATGACTTCCAAGGGAGCTGAAAAAATATATAACATGTAATGAAAACAACCTACTGCAGAAAGTAATCTCCTTTAAAACCACTTCTTTGAAATAATGAAGCAAATATTCCTATGGAAGAGTCATTCTAGAAAAATTACTTTGAGAAAACAGAAATTAGCAAAACATGCCCAAACAAGTTGTAGTCAGTGAGATTCTAAAACAATACATTCCTTTTCTCAGATCCTATTTTATTAAAACTTACAAACATTATGACTGGACATATTTCCAGATTCCCTCAGGAGTGGTCTCAACCCTATGCAGTGGTAGCAGGTAGAATGCAGCATAATTTTAGAAATGTTATTTAAATGGCTTGGGCCTGAGTTAGGTTTTTTTTTTGAAGGGGGGGTGGCTGGAGTTTGAACTTCACACTGTAAAGTAGACATTCTACCACTTGAGCCACACCTCCAGCCCATTTTGCTCTGGTTATTTTAGAGATGCGGGCTGGCTTCAAACCGCGACGCTCTGGATCTCAGCCTCCTGAGTAGCTAGGATTACGGGTACCCAGTGAGCCTGAGTTCATTTAACTTCCAAAGATGCCAGCTGCAAACTGGGTGTCTTTTAGTCTCTGGCATAGTATCTCATCCTTTCCAAGACCACTCTATTTTGACTTATTTTGTTTAAATGAAACAAGCAGCTATGTCTCTGAAAAAGGACAAAGCCAAGTATGTTTCCTATTAGAAAAATAAGCTTGGATTTACTACTTTCCATAAATATTAAAAAATGGCCAAATAAAATCCTATTCATGAGACCTACAACCAAAGAATATATTCAGCATGTCCCTCTGTAAATGGGGATCTATCAGTTTTCCAAGAGGCAAATGAGGACAGATCAGACTTTGATGATATGAACCGCTGATAAAGCAATCTTGAACTGTACAGAGGCAACTCCCCTCTGATGTCACTAACCCTTCCTAGCACATCATGAGGACTGGAGAGTTAAAACAGTACTTCTGGTACTCTTACAGCTGGGGACTGCTTGCAACCCCCTGAACAACAACATCCATGACATTCCTACCAACTCCCTATTGAACTTACCTGTTGGTCTAAAAAGAAAACAGATACATTTTAAAGAAGGGAAAATTTCTAAGCTTCATTGGGTGGCAACTTAAATAGTATTTACAAATGTGGTCTTACAGGACCAGATCAGAATAGACACTAGGTTTGAACTGCAGATGAAACAAATAGGGTTTTTTGTTTTACTTCTTGGCTGATTGATTTGTTTTCCTTTGGTACTGGGGTTTAATTCCCAACTCCCCACCTACCCTTCTGTTTGTATTTTGTTTATAAGATAACCTCTCACTAACTTTGCCTTGGCTGACTCAACCTTCCTGCCTCTACCTCCAGAGCTGCTAGGATTCACATCCAGCTACTTTTTAAAAAATGTAATGTGTTCATCTAGTGGAGTAAAGATGTGAAAACTGGTATAAGGAGCCTTCAGTGTAGGGTTTCTCGGTAAGCCACAAGCTCTTACCATCTTCCATTCTTTGAGTGGAAGATGAGCTGTTTCAATGATCATCAAAAGCACTCCAGCTAATACAAAACTGGTGAGAAGCAGTGTGTTCTACAAATAGACCTAGGACATGTGGTATTGAGTAGCCAGACTGGTGGTAGAGGGAACAGATGCTGAGGTGGGTGGGGTTTTGCTGTAACAGTGCCACTGTGGTGCGAGGCTGCACTCTTGGCTTCACTGCTCCTGGATGTGAAGCATCACACATTGGATAACTGGCCCTCTGAGAAAGCCTTCTAACACCAAGTGAGACATGTCACTCTGCTCACCTAGGTTAGTCAAATAGATTCTACTGTTTCCAATTACAGCTTTCCTAGTTTTCCAACTTCCATTTAGCTCACTTCCTACACTGCAATGGTGAGAAAGTCAAATGTTAACTTTCTAAGAGACCCTTGTGATTTTTGCCAATCTGATGTATGTGTATAAGAACAAAATTTAGAACTGGACTAAGCAGGGTTAGTGATGACTGGTGCTGGGGGGGGGGGCGGGGAGAGATATGAGAATGAAGCATGTAGTCAGTCAGATAACCCAACACTGCCCAAAACAGTACAACTGGCCGAATACATGCAACATATAATACATGGCAACCAAAACCAAACACATAAGATTGAAGGCAGTTTATTAGTCATATGTAGTCATAGCCTGGAGGAAGAGGTCACTGTACATGGTGTAGGGCCATGTACGAGTTGCATGTGAGAAACAAGTGATCAATAGGAGCTGTGGAAGTGAGGCTCAGTACAAACAAGAGGATAGGCATGTTTTGGTTACCGCAGAAGGTTCCCATGGGAGAATGTGATAGAGTTGAGTTAATTCTGCAGTGAATTCTAAATTCACTAATAGAGTAACCTATTAGTTTGAGAACTGGGGTGCTAGGAGAACTATCCAAATAGGGAGACTTTCCTGCTAGGTAGGGGGATATCTGGCAAAAACAGGGGAACTAAGCTACACTATAGAGGTCCTGAGAGGCTCAAGGATGTTAAAGACAGCAAGTGAAATTTTAAGCCTTCCTATATAGTGGTGCACTGAAAATAACTGCAATAATGAAAGCCAAACCTGAATGATCTTAGTGACTAGATGGACTCAATCCCCACACTAATGGCCTGAATAGAGATGAGACATGCTTATTTCAGAGTAGAAATACTACCATCTCAGTCTCCATTATTGTTTATACAAAATATTCTGCATCTAATAGAAAACACAAGATATATCACAAAAGCTAGAAAAATGTCTCATTGTCAAGAAACTTTAAAACAATTAACACATTGCATTCCTTTTTGGAGGTTTCTGGGGAATCAACCCAGAGCCTTGCACATGCTAAACACATGCCTTAGCATTGAGCTACAGCCTGATTCTCTAATATTTAACATACTGAAGGTGCTAGTTTAAGGGAGAACAACATATATGACTAGACAGGGATCTCAACAAAGATAAAAAGCATAAAGGATAAAATACAAATGTTAGAAAAGAAAAACATGCCATTATAGTTGAAGAATTCCTGTAATGAGCTTATCAATATGCTAGACAAAGCAAGAATTAATGTTCTAAAAGATTATACAAATTAAATCACAAGCAGAAAAATAAGTGAGAACAAAAAAAGAACATCCATGAACTGGGGGGCAAAATTAAATGGTCTAATAAGGTGTAACTAGAACCCTATAAGGAGAGTAACTGAAAGCCAAGTATGGTGGTACACATCTATAATCCCAGCAGTAGGGAAGCTAAGACAGGAGGATAGTGAGTTTAAGGTCAGTTTGGGCTACACTGTGTAGCCCTGTCTCAAAATAAATAAATAAAAATTAATTAATTAATTAATGAGAATGAATGAAAAATACTCAAAAATGTTTTTTAAATACTATTTTTTTTAAATGGTGGACTGGGTGTGTAGTTCAATGATAGACTGCTTGCCTGAGTGAAGTCTTTTGTTCAGTTTCTAGAACTTCAAAAAAAAAAGGGTATTGTGAGAATATAATGAACCCATACTATGAACAACTTTATGACAAAAGTAAATAAATAATGTTAAAATGGAAAATACTCTGAACGACACACTACCAAAGCTCATACATATAGATAACACTGGTCAGGAGCTGGTGGCTCACACCTGTAATCCTAGCTTCTTGGAGGGAAGGAAGAGGATTGTGGTTTGAAGCCAGCTTGGGCAAATAGTTTTCAAGACCCTACCTTGAAAATATCCAACACAAAAACAGGGCTGATGGAATGGCTCAAGTGGCAGAATACTTGCCTAGAAAACAAGAGACCCTGAGTTCAAACTCCCATACAACCAAAAAAAAAAAAAAAAGGATAATACTATAAGAACCTCTATTTAATAAAAGAACTTCACTGCTTAAAACCTTCCAAGAAAAGAGATGACCACTAGTGTTTAAGTCTATACATACAGTTCCAGTAAACAAAAGAATGAATAATTTCCAACTCATTCTAAGAAGTATTGTCAGGCATGCTGGTACACATCTATAATCCCAGTTACTTGGGAAGCTGAGGCAGGAGGATCATGAGTTCCAGTGCAGCACAGGGAAAGTTAGTAAACTCTATCTCAAAAACAAAATAAAAAACAAACGGACTGACAACATAGCTCAAGCCCTGGGTTCACTCCCTAAAAATACAAAAAAGCCAACAATAACCTGAAATAAAACCAATGATATTACAAATAAAGAAAAGTAAAAGTCAGTATCCCTCACTAACACAGATGCGTATTTCATGATAAGTATAGACCAATTTGTTAATTTAAAAAATAAATAACACAGAAGGAAAAACCCTTGATAAAATACTGGCAAATAAAATCCAGTATAAATAAAACCCAGAACCAAGTGGAACTGATCTATAGATCTATTATAGATCTGGGTTCAATCCTTAACAACACACACACATACACAAATTAATTAATACAATTCACCATATCTAGAAATAAAAAGAGAAAACCCCATAATCAACAACTGATGCATAAAACACATTTTATAAAATTCAACATTCATTCATGACAAAAGGATGGGGCGGGTGTGTGTGTGTGGATTTTCTCAACTCAATACCAATTCCCTCACACCCCACAGCTGATTTCTAGCTGGGCATGGTGGTGCATACCTGTGATCCCAACACTTGGGAGGCTGTTTCAGTCTAGCCTGTGCTATGTAGCAAGATCCTGTCAGTTTAAAAAAAATTATTTAAAAATAAAAATGAAGAAAAAGAAGTACCTGGAAAATAAAAATTCAAACTGTCTTTATTTGCGGATAATATGATCATTTAGAAAGCTTCCACAAAAACCCTACTGTAACTACTGCAGAAAGAGTTCTTAAAATCAACAATAAGAAAATTAAAATGGGAAAAAGATTTGTGGTGCACATCTCTAATCCCAGCACTGGGGAGGCAGTGATAGGTACACTAACAGTCAAGGCCAGCCTGGGCTATATAATGAGTTCCAGGATAGCAGGATCGTGTCTCAAAAAACAAACAAAAAAAAAA